AGCTGCAAAAAACTTTGTTTTTTGCATAGCTCAGTTACTTTTTTGAAGAAGTAACTATATAATTAATTGCCCAACATTGGTCATTATATCCTGTATTTTGCAGACAGAGTTACAGGACTCTCTCCCAGACCACAGACTCAGAATACAAGTCAGAGCTTTATACAAATAGAAAAAAGAAAGTTGTGTTTTCAAAATTGGAGTTCAAGTTATTTTTACTTCCAATAGTGTTAACATGCTACACAGGTCATGAACAAGATTATTTGTAAGTTGGCTAAAGCAGTTAATTAAAAGTAGTCTAACATAAATGTAAATGCTGTAATTTGATTATTTTTAATAAACCGTGTAACTTCAATGCTGGCGTGACCACAGTGCACACGTCTGATGTCGCTCACAGTGGTCCAAGGGACCGCTCAGGGAGTTTGTGTGTTCGCTCAGAAACATGAAAAATTAGAGGGAACATTGGTGAAGAGACTCATAACAACAAATCATATCTAAGTGCATAAATGTCGTGGAAGCGTGTTGAACAAGCTCCTGTAAAATATTTGTAGATGCCATTTTATCAGACACCATGCACATGCCTGTTTGTACTATTAAGAAAGCAATGTTGCAGGTGAGGTGTGCGCACAACCGTGCCCAAAGTAATGAAAACAAGATGGCTGAAAGCGATAAAAAAAAAAAGCTAACCTTGATCCCTCTGGCTCTCGGAGAAAGAACGTCTTTTAAATCAGTAAACACTTACAGACTAAGGAATCATAATTGCTGCCAATAGAATAAAAGTGTGGCTATATTTAGCAAACAAAGAAAAAATGCCCTTGGAAAAAGCCGCATTTAACTGCCCCCTTCTCTGTAAGCTGAAACAGTAAATGCAGATAAATTTTATGTGGAAAACAAAACAAACTCCACCAAATAGTTTACCATCTGTTTTAAGGCTAAGAGCATATAAACATCCTCTTGGTGTTAAAACATTTAAGATAGAGAAAAAGAGCAAAATGAAACCCTTTTGTGAGAAGACAAGATAAATTGGGGAGCCTGCTTCTCTTGCTTCCTCTGATAATAAAGTATGATGCTCTTTCCTAACGCAGACACAGGAGTCGATCTGGGCCAGTTGGGCCTCCTGGTGTCTTGGAATGAGCCTCGGCCATCATTAGGTCTGCAGAGGGGTCTTGGGTTAAGCAATGCAGACGCATTGCTCAGTATGGTTAAAGTCCTGGCTCCAGGTCTGATTTATACCAGCTGTGGTGAAGGCTGGGGGTCTCAGTCATTCTTCAGAGCCACTGGTTGCACTCCTTGGCTGAATTTAAATTGATTTGAAGACGGAACTTGCCCTGTTTTCCTGCCCTTGTGACAGGCTCCCTGAGGGGTAATTTATTTCTTTTATACCCCATTGCAGCCACACGGCTGGAAGGAAGTGCTGCCCTAACTGTAATGAAGAAGTGACCTTGAGTTTAGCCGTCACCCATGCTTCTGCATGGAAACCGTGAGCATTAGGGCATTCAGCATAAATATACACACACACACACTGCAAGATTATAAAAACAGCAGTGACCTACCAGTTAGACCATCTATCATATGCTCTGACAAGAGAGAGATGGTGGTGGCTGTTTCAGTGAAAAATAGGAAATGCCAAGTCTTTTATAGGACTACTCAGGAAACTAAACTGACTCTATAGGAAATTCTGTCTGATGATGGGTCTATTTTTAGGGGATATTTAAAGGTGTTCGTGCTATCTGCTTCTCAGTCAGTTGAAGTGCATTTATTATTTAGCCGTTTTAATGCTCACTAATGGCTGTACAGAAAGCACAATGCACAGCTGAGGAGTGTTCGGCCTCTCCCATCAATCTGAAAGGCTGGATGAAACTGAGGTTTGGTTCTTTGCGTGGAAGAATCATCCTCTGACCTCTCAACTTCCTGCTTGGGAGAGAGAAAAATACATGAACACCCTGAAGGTTTGGGAGAAGTTCATCTATTTCCTGATATAACAAAGTGAGACACGGGACATTGTTGCTGCAGAGTTTCATTTGGCTGATAATCAAAGCAGAGGCCTGTGTCTGGGGAACAAGTTTGCAGTGGCGTGCTGTAAACCCAAACACCACGGCCACGCAGAGGAAAAGGTGAGGCTTCTCCTTCGACCCAGACAAGTACTCTTGAGATACCTTGAAAGCATGCCGGTATTGTCCTGCAGACTCGAACAACACTGTTCTCTCACGAAAAAGAAAGATGCACCAAAGTGTCTCACTGTGAGTGCACATCATTAAAAAAAAAGATTATTTTCAACAGCATCTAATGGATAGACTGATCAAATACACACAATGTTATCACATTTCCTGTATGTACAGTAGCTTATATAATTATGCTATTGTAAAAACATACCATTAGAATATTTAAGTGTGTCATGCAGCTGAGGGCCATAATACTTTACTCTGTGCACAGAATAAAATGCAATATTATAAAAACTGTACCTGGAAGGCAGAAACAGGGAATAATATACCTATATACTATCTAAGTATACATTAAATATATATATATTTGTGTGTACATTTTCATTTACACAACAATAAATAAATAAAGAGATTAAAGAACACATGGCTCATGGTGTGATATAACATATCCTATGATCCCTGCTCTGGAGGTATGCTCTGTCTAAAAATAACTTGGCTGACATCATTTACAGATTAATCCAGTGAGGGAGGCCCCCTCTAAAAATGTCTACTGACATTACAGGCACTTGGTTTGGACTTGGAGTATTTGCAATATTCATGTGAAGTGTTTTCTTAAATAGTAATTGTTTCTAGATGTACGCTAACATGTAGGTTGGAATATGTCTACTGATAAGACTTTAAAGTCGAGCTTTTAAAAAGCAATCTTTGGTTTGACACCGCTTGTTTTCTTTCTTCCTTCTTTTTTAACTACACTGTACCTCAGACCATTGCAACATTCAGCTTTTATCTAGCACAAAATGTAACATTCTCTTCAATAAATATACTTTACAACGTTGATCACGATACACGGAATGCTGATAAATACTTCTCATGAGTTTCTTCTGTGCTGTGTTCTCGTTTCATACTTTCCGAAAAGCATGACGGGAAGGTTCTTTTATGTGCCTCATATGTATAAAATACAGTCACATAATTGTGTCCCAGTTGAGCAAGGAAAACCAGGTTTATTTTGTTGTGCGGTGCTTTCCTTCTGCTGCACCGTCCTCAGGAGTGAATCTTAAGCCCATCTTGCTAACAAATCACTATTGTTGGATCCTGGACGTGAATTCCGTCTTTGCCTCAAGCATCCGTCTCTAATCCTTTCTTTCTTTCTGTGGAATAACAAAGTTTGATCACGTTATTAGATTTCAACTACAGTCCTCCTGGGACCACTGCTGTAACATCCATGACATCCCCTGTCTGTTCTCCTGCAGTCTTATTCTCGTGTACTGTCTGCATGTGCTTCTTTTCTCTTCCCTCCAGCTTGGTTTTCTCTGCACCCATAGTTTTGTCTGCTGCTTTATACATTAGGCGTGCCATTAATGTAGCAATCCACCCCTTGCATTCCTGCTGCTCTACTGTATCCGAGCAGAGTAAGAGACTGTCCACAGTTCTGTTCAACAGCTACTGAGGTGAAAATGTTTTCACCTTCCAGTCCATTTCACCCCACAGATCCACCGAAACACTGTGTTATGAATGGTGCTGACATCTTCAGTGACAGCCGTCCTTACTGCTGGGGCGAGTAACACAGGTGATTACAAATAGAAGTCCTGGTGAGAAGACAGCTGTCCTTTGATGCTGAAAACATCTGGTGGAGGTCGTCACAGTGCGTTCTCAGGCTGCGGCGCTGGAGGCGGTGACATCAGCAGAGTTGTGTGCAAAAGTACGTCCTTGCAGTGGGCGCGTGTGCACGCATGCATGCCTTTCGAGCATGTCTCTGTGTGTCTCGCTCTCCAGCTCATCAGTCTTTGTCAGTACAGGCTGTCCTTGGTGGTGGAGGTGTGTGTGGTGGTAGAGTCGTCAGGCAGGGAGCCCCGTCGTCCAGATCTTGACCCACAGTGGAGCAGATTTTGCAGCTCTCTTGACACGCTGCTGGAGAAAGCCGTGTAGATCCATGGGTTGGTGCACGAGTTCAGACTGGCCAGCAGCATCAGGATAGTGAAGGCCACTCCTGCAGAGGACACACACCGCCAAAAAGACAAGTCCAAAAATACATTTTCAAATGTACAACCTTTACGTTGGAAGGAAACATTCCTCTTAAAATGAGGACAAACTAAGGACAAATCACAGTGCAAGTCACATTAGTCTCTCACCCCTTAGGAAACAAACATAAAAATGTGCAAATATTTAGCAGCAGAGCACTGTGCATTATTTTGTTTTTATTCTACTTCAAGAATTTGATTATAAATATCCCAGGGGAACAACTCCACACATACTTCCTCCTTCATATTTTTCATTTCTAATAACAAGTCTATTGTGCATTAGGCAAAACACACTGAGAGCAGCTGAGAACAATGAATGAGACCGTTCTGATTTTAGAATAAAGCTGACAATAATCAGCTGAGTGTGGGGCTGTCTGCCAATCGGGGCTTTTATTTCATGAGAGTATGCTAATCATGCTTGTAGCTGCATGTGAGTACACTTTGTGTATGCATCTGTGCTCGTGTGTGTGCGTTTGTATTTGCGCTTGTTCCATGTGTTGCTTATGATTTTAACTATGCATGCCAGCTGCTGGCACCGATCATTGTTGATGAAATGTCAGCATCTGGCTCTGTTTCAGACTCTACGGGGGACATAAACAGGTTATTTACTGGCCTCTGGTGTTTGTCTTTAGTTTCAGCTCAGGAAAAAACAAACTTGTTTGTGACCTTGTATTATATTCTCTGTTGAGAGCTGGAGCTTGTACTTAGAATAATGAGTTAGATAGCCTAATATTTGGACCCACCAAGATGCTCAAAAGCATTTATTGGAGTTTTCTGTTAAAAATAGGAGCTTTTCAATTAGCTTTATGCTCTCTAAAGTGCAAAACAGGTAAATTAGCTCCATTAGGGCGATTAAATAGATTACATGAGCTAAGGAGAATCAATCCATCTGGGGTAAACAACATAAATGATTCACCTGACCGCACAGATGTTGCTTTCATTTCTTTTATGGGGTAGATTGGAAACATAAGTGGACGTTGCATCCATTAAGATGTTTATGACTAACCTTGGTCTGGAGGGTCTGGATCCCAGGCTGCCCACAGCTGGACAATGAAGAAAGGTGACCAGCAGATAGTATACACCAGCACAATGACCAGGGTCATCCTCACCGTCTTTGACATGGCTTTAGTGATACTTGGAGGTGGGGTGGCGGGGCGGTGAGGGGGAGCATAATCAAGGGAGCAGCGGGGAGAGTTGGTGTAGGGCTCCTGGCAATCTGAGCCGTTCACTGTTTGCTGATGCGCTGTTGTTCTTGTTGTTGTCACATGTTCCCCGTGGCAACTGTTACACTGAATATCAGGTGGTACATAGTCATAACATTCTCCCACTTGGCTGTTGGGTGTGTTATTGTGGGGGTTGTTATTTGCAACCTTTAAGAGTTGTCCTCCTCTTCCGTCCCAGCCTCCTCCTCCAGACGCCCGTCTCCCCCTCTCTCTGGATCGCTCGTCCTCCTTCCTAAAGCTGTGAAAGCGGAAGAGGATTTCGTTTTTCTTCATCTCAGCCATCACCATCCTCTCTGACTTCAGGTAGATGTTGTTGTGAATCTCGCGGAAGATTCTTATCTGAAATATAAGAACATTTTGAGAAATTACAACAGCTCAGTGAGAGGGAAAACTAGACATGCCATCATTCACGACCTAAAAGGCCCGGGGATTACGTTTTATCATGGGAACGTGGCAAATTCAGATGCTTGTGTTTGCTGCAGACTGTCCTGTTTGCAGTTTAGGTCAACACTGAACGGAAATTTGAAATGTAAAAAAAAGAGAGTATGTGTTGGCCTTAACCATCGGCCATAAACCAGTGTCAGACATTTTTATGTAACATTATTTAACGCCACGATTCCTTCGCTCTGTTACATAGCTACCATAAAACTTTATTGCACCAAAATGATTTGTGGTATTCTCCGGAGAAACCAAAACAACGACATGAAATCCATTACTAATAGGCGATTCATCCTTCCAACTATTTTTACTTTGATTCTGAAGGTTTGTTACAACTGAAGCTACACATTAATCCATCTTTCCATTCAGTTTATGGGATTTAATCGGGCGAGACACTTGAAACTTTCCAAATTACCTCCTTCAGCAGAAATAACATCATTCTCTCTTCCAGAAACGTTCTAAATATCCCTCTGGATTTGAAATCTGATATTCAAAATAGTGGGAAAAAGGTCCAGAATTCTATGTTTGGCACAGATCTGGTACATTCCTCTCCCTGGCAGGACGTTTTCAGACTGGGCAGGCATCTCGGCAGTAGACCTCCAAGTGCTGTGTTAATTAGGGGAAAAAGCTGGAACCTAGAAATATCTTTCCCTAAATAGATCAGGACTGATGGGAGGCACCCCAGAATGTCATATCTGCCTGGGCATGCGACATAACACCAACCACAGTCTCCACAGGTTATTTAACAATGCATGCCAAATACACTCTTGAAACCAAAACAGCATTTCATTCATGCCACAAGCCTCATTACTGGATAATGTTGCTCTGAGCATGTAATCCTATAGTCAACACCCTTTGTGGACAGTGCAGAGTTCAGCCAGTACAACTAGAATTACCTGACAGATGGTGATGATGAGGGCGGGCAGGAGGAAGACAGTTACCGTCATCCAGGTGACGTAGGCTTTCAGCCCCCACAGCTCAGCAAAGTGACCCCAGCACTCGAACTCACCGGGAGCCACTTCTGAGCGAGAGAAGATGAACACCTGACAGAAACAACAAGGGAAAAGTGGTCAGCACACCCACAGACACTGATAATCTGCAGTGATCTCTTGAAGCTAAAAATAGACAAACATCTTGAGTTCTCCTGTGGAAATCAAGCTGCCTGTGTGTTCACCCCTTCCTACCTGCGGTATGCTGAGGATCAGTGCCAGGCCCCAGGCCACCATGACAGGAGTGTTCCAGCGGGACACTGTGCCCCCTCGGTAGGCCTGCAACGGGCAGCAGATGGCATGGTGCCGGTCTACTGTCATGGCAACTATCATATAGGAGGAAGCAAACATGCCAACAATCTGCAAGTACTTGATGGACCGGCATAGCAAATCCGGCCCTTGAAACCTCTCTGTAATGTCCCATATTAGCTGAGGAAGAACCTGAACACACAGATAAAAAGTAGTTATTTTTAAAATAAGTGTTTTTAATATATTCAGCGTATCAACAAGAAGTGCCTGTGCAGCCCAAACCCAATTTAGCACTTTGTCCGAGACTGTTATCTGAAAACTGCTTGAGCACATCGGTAAGCCACACCATGGCACTTAATGACATGTTCTTTACTATCCATGACAAGGGCACTGGGCAAGCCTGTTTTTTCATTTGTTTGTTTTTACCTCAAAAAACACCAAAGATATGGTCATCTACATACGAAAGTAGTTCTAAAACAAAAAAATCATTTATCCTGTTTGAATGATGTTTATAATTGCATTGCACAGCTGGACTGGGAAAAGCTGATCTTTTATATACATATATATATTTGACTGCCATTTTAAGAAATTTGTGCAGCTGAGTCACCGAGAAGCCAACTGGGTAGGAAAGCAGCAGAGACTTCAGAAAGAAATACAGATGCATTTCATTACTGTGAAAAGCCCTGACAGAGCCCTCACTCACTGCAGTGGGTTTTTTAAAGCATCTGAAAACAGACATTAAAGTACACTATAAGGCAGACAGTTTGTACAGTTATTACAAGTTTGAAAGTCAATATTTGGTATGACCAACTTTATTCTTCAACACAGACTGAGGTCTCTTAGTGAAACTTTCTTGTAAATTCTTTAAGTAGTCTACAGGAAGTTCTCCAGGCTCCAGGATAGTTTCTCATTGAGTGTTTTTCTACCTACATATGCACTGACAGTGTGCTTCCATGACGGTATTGAAAAAAATCTGATGGTACTTTTCTGTGTTCATAATTCCATCAATTATGACAAGAAAAGCTCCGACATGTTGTTCAGATGGCTGCAGACACTCGCTGTTGTGCTTCTCTCCTGACCTCCTCCTACAGTACATATTGACATTTTGAAGTAAAAATTTAAAATATGGATTTGTCCTTCATTCGTCCTGTTGCCACTGATTTTCGGTTCAGTTCTTGTGTAGTTTGGCACACACCAGCCTTTTCTTTCTGTTTCTCTTCCTTAAGAATAACTTCCACTGAGACCATCTCTGATTAGGCTTTGGCAGTATAGTATATGAATCAACTGAAGGGCCAGATGCCTTTATCGTTGTGGGGGTATAGCTTAGTGGTAGAGCATTTGATTGCAGCTCAAGAGGTCTCTGGTTCAATTCCAGATACTCCCTGTGGAAGCTTAAAAAGCCTTTCTTAAAATTGGCTTCTTCACAGCCAGCTTTCCACCGAGATCTTTTTAACAAACAGTAAAAGGCTCATTTGAAGGCTCAGATGCACGTGTCGTCTTTGCTGTTTTGTTTTTTCTTATTTCTTAAGGACACAACTTTGAGATGTTGTTCATCTGCTATTGACTGTTTTTATTTTTTTAGGCCTACCGTTTCATCTGTATCTTCCAGACCTTAATTTTTTTTTACGTTTTATTTTAAGTTCATTTATTAAACACTTTTCACGGACAAGCAGCCTGTGAAATGGAGCGAGACAAAGATTTCACATGCGAGAGCAGTTGGGCAGAAGGAGGCAAGAACCTGACTGATTTTAAAATGTAATTCAGCAGGAGCTATAATTATGGTCTCAGTCTTGTTAGCATTTAAAACAAGGTAATTACTAGAGAGCCAGTCAGTATTCTTTCTGAGTTAAGCTGTGGACTAGGGTGGACAACCTATCAAGCTGAATGTCATCAGCATAGGAATGATAAAAAAAAATTTTTTATTAAAAAATTGAATAATGGCAGCTAGAGGAAGCATGCAGAAAAAAAAAATGGACCCAAAATCCCTTTTTAACCCCACAGGTTAGGGAGGAAATGTTAGAGGTGAACTTGTTTGTTCTAACAGAGAGGGTCCTATCAGAAAAGTAAGAAGTAAATAAGTCTAAAGCACAGCCAAATTCACCAGCCAAAACATGAAGCCTATAAAGCAGGATTTTTATGGTCAATGGTATCAAAGGCTTCACTGAAATCAGGCAAAAATGATTACAGAACAATTCCTCCATCAGAGGCCTTCAACAGCATGGTCTCAGTGGAACGCTACTTTTGAGAGCAAGACTGTAAAGGGTTAAAAATCTAAAATTTGCATAGTAAAGATCTGAACTTATTTTCTGCTGTTTTTTCTAATATTTGCTTATAAATAGTCTTTTTTTTAAAAAAAATTTTAATTACCACATTCCTTTGAAAAAGGTCAGGTACAAGGACTGGACTGAAATAACTGAAAAAGCCTCCAACGGCCAAAGAAATGCTGGATAACTATTGCTCATGGCCACTTTAAAAATTACAGGAAAGTTTGAAGGTCTGGAGGCAAAGTAAAAAAGAAATGCACAGTATTTATATTATAGGTATTTTTGTGGAACAGTGTATACAGCTGTAACAGATCCAGACAGTATATAACTCACAATTACATAGTTTAACACAGTTAAGTGAAAAAGAAATTCCCATGGAAGATAAAAATCAATATTAGGATGAGCAAGTTTTCAGTGTGACAAAAATTGTTAGTAAAGATGAAATATTTAGACTTGAATAAAGACTCAAAAAGAAATAAACATGTTTTACTTATGGCAAAAACAAAACAAAACAGGCCTTTAACAAACTGAGACCATTTTTTAAATGTTTGTTTCATCCACTGCTGTGATCTATGTATATTCATGTTGCTATAATGCCTCAAAGAAACCCCTGTACTGACCTGAAAGAAAGCCACCACCAGGTCAGCCACACACAGGTTGACCATGAATATGTGCATCGGTGCGTTGTGCTTCCTCCGCCTCAGAAGCACCCACAACACAAAGCTGTTCCCCAAGGTGGTAAGAGCCAGCACCACGGCAAGCACTGCAATCTCAGCCCGGGCCAAGCCGATATCCCTCACCCTGGGCTGGGGAAGGGTGCGAGGTGTGCTATTGGAGCCATTCTCGGGAAAGATGCCAAAGAAGGATCCCCCACTGTGAGACGTGTTGAATGAGTTCAGTTCAGAAATAAACGAGGAAGAGAAGTTGTTTCTTCCTGTGGGGCCCAGAGCGGAGAGGCCTAACCTATCCCAGTCCGTTTCCAAACTGATGCTTTCCATTCCTGGAAGACAAACAAAGTGTTAATTTGGGAAAGCCAATAAAATCTATTGTTTATAGTTTGTATAAATGATGCTCTGCACAAACACAGTCTGCAGGAGTCAATCTGCTGCAGGGCTGTATGACTGTCCACTAGTGGATTTTGGCCAAGTCCAGATTATTATCAACAGACAATGAAATTGCACTGAATTATTACATCTGTGCATCTTATTGCATTTCCTGCAGTTGCCTAAAAATGCACTGTTCCTTACAGTACTGCTGAGAATCCAAAGCAAAGCACACACAGACTTCTCACATAAGCTGATGCAGATATAAATCACAGGAACTCTTTGTTGTTGGATCATCAGTAACAGTTTCACATCATGTACCACAAATAGCTCCTGTTGGGTAACCTCATCACATTCAACTCAAAGTAATGAGAGCCAGACACTCTGCCAATCATGCAAGTGTAATTATGTCTCAGATTTTAATAATTCTCCTGTCTGTTTGTCCCTCTCCCAAAGCTTCCCATTCGATCTGACGCAAGTCCAGTTTGGCTTATTTTCTTTCTAATTCTTTCTCAAGGTTGATTTGACAGCTTTGCCTCCTATCCCACCACCCTTATTCCTTCACGTCCCCTCTCATAATCATTCTCATCCCATGCTTACCCTTGTACATTCCTGTTTCCCCCTGTTTTTGTTCCCCTCTCTCCAGATTTTCTCTCATGCATCCAGGCGTTCTTTTCTCTTCTCTCCCAATCTAAATTAATTTTACGTTTATTTTTCTTTGCTTATAAATAAATGGTTGAAAAGAACAGAAAGTTGATAGGAATTAGATGACAATTTAAGAAACAGAGTCATGGGATGTAGAGGGCAGCTTTGGTCAAATAAACTGCATGTAGAGTAGCGTCTGAGAAGGGGGGGTGGGCGGGGGTGGAGAGTAACGCTACAGGCGGTGAGGAGAAAGGAGAAAAAACTGCCCAGAAAAGGTTAAAAGAATTGATTTTTGAGGGAGGGTGATTGGATGAGACTAGAGGAGTGGCAAAACATAGCTCCAAGGAGAGATGTGCACTTTTAGTTATTTCGCTGTGAGTGATGATTGACACCGTGTTGATGTAATATTTTGACTAATATGCTGTGGAGTGGTCGTCTAAATGTGCCACTGAATGGGTGATAAGAGAGCTTCCATTTCTGCCTGATCAGAAGGAAAACGTGAGAATATTGAGCAATTGAATGTGACTATACATAACAAGGTTGTTCTCACTATTACGCTACCACCTAATGACCACTTAGTAACAGTGGACGCACTCCTGGGTGTGTAAGGACGGCTGAACATACTGTCAAGCTTTACATGCTGGCTTTGCCAGAGGAATGTAATCAGATGAATGCATGACAGGCCTGGCCTGGTTGACTTCTCTTCCCTGCACAAATGTACAGCTGTGGGTGAAAAGAAGAGTATCTCAGTGGGATCATTCCTCAGAAAACAGAAAACTGCTCTCATGATTTGAGTGAATCCCTGCCGCCACACGAGGCAAACACAAGACTGCCATAAATGTCCAAACTAAATCAATCATTTTCTTTTTTTTTATTAACATTTCTCTATATTTAAAGGGTTGTATTAGTGGGAAGGTCGATAGAGGAGAGGATCAGACGTAGCAATAACAGTTGTTTTTTTCATCTTTGTTAATTAAGGGTGTAGACAACAGGGCCCTTTTTCAGTGAGGAATCTCTGGGCTTCTTTTTGTTGGTTCCGAGGAGCCTTGTGCCCCTCTCTGTAATTACAGTATAATTCATGAGAAGGTTCTTTGTGCGGCTGCACCCCCAACCTAATTTCATTATATATATATTTCCATGTGATTCGTTTTTGATGTTGAGTCTGTTTTCAAGTATGCCTCGGTGCAGATAAGGTGCAATGGAGTTGTTACAATACCTGGAGTAAAGCTTAATTAAAGCTTTACTCCAGGTATTCAAGAAAGTCAAATAAAAGCATTGAAAACTGCTAAGCAGGAGCAGCTGTTAAGGTCCATCTGTCTGTAGATGACCACTGATGAGTACGTGCTGCATTTCTTTCTTCATAGCAGATTTTTATCTTCAAATTTATGACATTGTTCTGAGAAAATCTGAATCCCTTGTTTACCTAAACTCCCGGATAAGAAAATATGCTGAATGCTCATTTGCATTGCATGTGTATCCAAGAAATCTCAGTGAACTGTCTTCCGATTGCTCAAGCTCATCTACAGGAGACCCATGCATAGCCTGAAACCTGTGCCAGGAGTGCTCTGTCATATCATGAAATTTCTTAAACTGAAGCTGCACGATGAAGGTAAATAATGTCTGCAGAACATTGCTGGGTGCAGTTTAATATATTCCAAGCAGACCCCATTATTTCCATCTGTCTGACTGACTTAACACAAGTACAAATTATTCTTTGTGTGCTTGATAGACTGTAGACAGTACTTCTAGTAAAGTACGCTTTCTCTCTGATTGATGATGGAGTCTATCCCTCCCTTGCTTTGCTCTCCAGAGGCAAAGCAGAATGCAACCATCCATTTTCATAACCTCTCCGTGCTGTACTGCTGTCATAGGCACGGGGTTCATGCTCACAGAGCCTCAGGGAAGAAAGGAACATGTAGTTAAAGTGCACAAAAACCATTATAGATAGCATCCACTCACATCTTTCAACATCCGTGTCATCATTTCCAATTGTTCACACGTGTTTTGGTCATTCCCTTTCACAAACTACGATATGTTCAACATATGCCAAGATCCAAATACCAGATGTTTGAGACAAAGTATTTTTAAACCATTCTGAGGTGTGTTAAGGAACGAATGTCGTATAAAACCATGTTTTGATGTCAGTATTACAGTGTGTGACAAAATGCTTTTAAAGGAAGTTGAAAAAAAGGGTGCTATTATCCTTTAAGGCAAGACTTCACCCATTAGACACTCTGAAGGAGGTGCTTGTGCACTTGGTGGTTTAATCCAAACATAATGAAAAAGCCATCACCTCTCTGCCTGTCTTGTCAGCCCCTGGATTAGTTTCCTTTGACCAAGTTGACCGAGTCTGATTAATGAGGACCTCTTTGTTCTCATTACCAGCCGCCCAGACGATCTGTGGCTAATTTCTCCTTCTACTCGGTCTTCCTTCTCTTCTACTTTTTCCATCCGTTACCTGTTATTTTCGCTACACTTTCATCCACCCACTCCATTTCTCTGATTCTGATTCCCTCCTAACCATTCCACCACCTGTGATCACAGACAAAAGAGGAAGCCGCTTCTCCTGCAGAGGAAACTGGCTCTGACATGTTTTTTTGTTTTTGCTTCATTTTAATCACCGTCCCCATTAATTGACTTTGGCAGCAGGAAACAGGATTAAAAAGGTCTGGCCCAATCTGAATTCAAGTCAACTGAAACTAATAAAGCAAGCATTAGATGACAGCGTGTTATATATTTACCTTTGGTTTTCCGCTGTTTTTCCTCAATGTGATTCATGCACGACACAAATGAATCATGTGGGGTCACAGACCGGGCTGCGTGGCATTTCATCCGCATGATAAGGTTGCCACGGCCACGTTTTTCTCTTTAAGCCCCACAAATCTGTAAATTAGATCCCCGCTTGCACCCTCGCTGCGGCATTGATTCACCTCCTGAATGAGTCGGGTCAATGACAGCTAGATAGTTTGTGTTTATGCATTTCAGTTTGTGGAGGAACCTGCTGTACTCATTAAAAATCACATTCACGGTTCTCTATTTGAGTACATGTCACTCAGGTTCGCTCTCCAGCTGCAGCTCATATGAGCAATAATACAAATTATTCTTTTACTGTCTTCAACCCCAAACAGCCAAATAAATGATAATTATGCAGGGCCACACCTCATTATACACAGCGATTCAGTCATTGCTTAGATTACAGTCATATTGTATCAGATCAGATCAGGTCAGTAGACAGAACTCATGCAGAAGGTCCAAGTCCTCTTATCGTTACTGATAAACCCCGTTCATTAGACCACTGGCTGTTTTTCTTGTTATGTATCATTAACTAGCACACCACCAACAAGTGAACCATTCAAAATGGGACCTTTTTACACATCACATATAGCTAATAAAATATTCAGAGTATTCCCCCTGAAGATTGGAAAGTGGGCTGCAGTGTTACCACATCAGCTAAAACAGGCCTGGAGTTGATTTGGTCAGAGCTGCAGCACATGATGAAATGAACGCAAGTAAATGATTCCCTGTTAGAGACCAAAGTAAATCGACTGTTAAAATAACCGTGATGATGATTTTTTCCTGATGGAGGCTGCAATCAAGGAAGTTATTATTCCTCCATAATAGTTTGTGTGAGGGAGAAAAAAGAAGAAAACTTTGCGTTTTATGGTGGAAAAAACCTTTTTCAATGACTTTGGTTGAGACAAAGAGCTTCCACAAAAAACACGTCTGCCAAAAAGCATTATTTGATTTAACTGACAGACAAGAAAGTTTGGCTTTTGTTGTTGTTGTTCATTTTTAAGTATGGGATCTGTTTTTGATTGAACTTAAACACAATTTTTGATTATTTCTTCACTGTTAGGAGGAAATTTACCATTGTGATAATAAGTTGTGTCAGACAATAAATCAATGACACTTGAATATACAGACGCATGCATGCCGTCCACTCACAGCCTGGGAAAACAAATCTTTTGTTTGTCTAAAGCCCTTTGAGTTTCCTTTAAAAAAAAACATGCGCAGGGCACGCACGTGTGCAAAAAAACACTCACACAAAGAAGAGCAACCCAGTGTGAGAAGTCGTCTCTTACCTTGTTGTCAGTGCATGGTAAGCATTCTCACGCGTGTCCTTTTCTGTTGGCTTTGCTCTTGTCTTTGCGACTGTGGGACAGAGCATTAAAAGCCATCACTGTTACAGCTCATTTAGGTTACAGGCAACAACAGATAACATTAACATCGTGACAGTTCCCCCGAGCTTCTGTAATCTGTGGAAAAACAGGACCACATCCATTTTCAATTAAGCTCTGCAATGACTTACATCTAATCAAGCACAATAACATACATGCTTTATGTTAAGAGAAATGACATCCTGAAAGTAGCTCTGGGAAACAATTAGGTTAGAATGATTTATTCACATTTTTTATTTCTGTTATTTAGAAAATTAGCCTAATTTAATTGCGGCGTTCCATCATTTGGAACAATTTTGTTTAATCAACCCAATAATTTACTACTTTGATTTACAGTCACCAGAGCACTTTTTTAAACAGTTGTACTGTTTCCAAAATATAAGATGTGTGTTTTGTTCCTTTTCTTGTTAAATAAAATATGTAAAATAAATATAATAAAATATATTTTCACTGTCTACAAACATGAAAGTAATATTATTAGATTATTGTATTATTATTATTATTATTAATGAGGAAACATGATTCTAAATACAAATATAAAAGAAACTGATAAAGCTCAGCCTGTTTATTAAAATTCTGCACACTGGGCTTTGATGGCATACTTGAGTTTTGAGCATAAATGAGATACTGTAGCCACACAAAGGCATGACCTCGATTGGGTTGTAAACAAATTGGAGGAATACAATGAGATTAAATTTAAGGCCCTGCTGGAAAGTTTTTCAGACAATGTTGATTAATGATTTAAATAATTAAAATAATTGTACATAATAAGTATATGTTTAGCCATCATATCCAGCAGTCATTATGGACTCAATAAGGTACTTACTTGTTCTACTTCAGTGGTGCATTTCTGTTATATGTCGCTTAATTTTACCCAAATTAATTCTTCTCAATCCATGTCTCTCCTTTTAGCCTCAGCTGAATCCTGAATGAATTAGGCAGCACAGGAATAAAAATCACTCTTCATCAGAGTCAGGTGTTGGTCAGTGTTAACAAAAAGTTCTTTAGGGAGCTCTTTGTTAGTCCTTTGCCTGCTGAGTGTACTCTCCTTGAGGTGTTGTAGTTCATTTGTAGTTCATTTTATTAAAGTAATCCATTTGATAGCCATGCGTGCCCTGGGTCCATTTGCGTCAGGTTATGCTTTTGCAATCTGCTGTGCCTTCACTAGCAGAAATGAATTTGATCTCCGTCCGTTCCTACCTCCCCCCTCTTCCCTCCACAGCTATCTCCTCCTCCTCCTAGGTCAACCAGCTTGTCCGCCAGGACTGAGGGTGGAGCCTGCAACCAGGAGTGGTGCAAGAGAGAGGGAGCGCGAGGGAGAGAGAGAGAGAGAGAGAGAGAGAGAGAGAGGGGAAGGGACCTGTTTTGTCATCCATAGCATTGCACTGAAGTATGGTGTCCACTCAATCACTGTGAGTCACTGGCAGACACAACCATCAGTCTTTACGTGCAGAATTCCTTTATATAATATTACAAGTAAGCAGTCCAGAACAGATACCTGCTGATATTATAAAAGAGAATATTCAGCTGTTAATTATAGCTGTAAATCCAGCTTCCCAGACACCCTCAGCTCCATTTCCTTCTCAACCCAACAGTTGAGCCATGTCAAGAGTCCCCGCATGTCAGCTGAGGCTCAGACGAACCGCCCACTCTCACATTTGCTCTGTCCGGTCTCACAACAATACTGCCGTCAAAACATAAATCATAGCAAACAACACAATGTGCTAGAGACATATTTGAATTCCCAAAGAGAAAAAACTAAGCGCTGAAATAGCCAAATGTTATAGTTTCCTAGAAAATGTTATTATGAATCGGCAGAACATCTGCCTGCAGAGATTGAGACGCACTTCCTTCGACAGTGTAGAAGAAATTGTGGAAATTCAAAGGAGCTTAATCACCTGAAGTCGCAAATGCTCTCAGGGCAGGGAGGCAAAACATATCGTGGGGCCCAAGATTTATATTAATATCCAACACTCTAAAAAACAGTCACTGACACAGAAACACACAAAATGCACAACCACATGCACACATTTGATATAATAACATGCATATGAGCATGAATGTAAGCATCACTGCATACCGTCCAGCTTTGTTATTAATATTGTTTCAAAACACAACCAGAGAAAGTGAGCGCTGGAGAAAGAGACACAAACACACACTCCTGTGTTCAGGCGTGTTTGTGATACAGAGAGAGAGATGGTTAAGATGGAGAGGTACCACCCCGCCCTGTAGTGATTTATTGCTTGTGTAGTCATTGATACATGCTGCTTGTGTTTTTATTCAAAGCTCTCTCCTGTCCTCTTCCCTTCAATCTGATTTGTTGCTCAAGGACAAGGGAAGCAGTTCCACCCAGCTAGGAATGCCGAATGGCTGACTCAGCTGAGCCAACCTCAGGTCCCACCTTTGGCACACAAACACAAGGCTGGAGCACAAAAACAAAACAAAGGTGCTTAAATGCCGTCTTTCAATTTGGATTTTAAGGCTCTCTCGCTCTCACACACTCTCACGCGTGTTGCTAAGAAAATTATGTTGGCCTGCACTCAAACACTCCAAGGTGTACACAATGAGCGAATTCACAAATTCATACTGGCAGCCACTTTAATGCGCAACTTTAAATGAAATAAATCGAGTCCAAAGTGGCAAAGTGATCTTCCCAAATTTATTTTGACACGTAAATTGCAGCTTCCCCTTACTTTCCCCCCAAAAGCTGAAGTTAACAAGACAAACTATAGTGATCCGACATTTTGCAAATATTATATCGTTCCAATTCTGTGGCCCTTATGCACACACACACACACACACACACAGATCTAGGCACAGATAGCATGGTGCACTAATGAGTGACTTTCAACCCCAAATCCACTGATTGCTGTCCAGCAGAGTCTAGATTGTCCCATGATGTCAGAAAACTTGGCCATTTCCCCCAGTGCTGCATCCAGGTTTACAAACGAACCATCCCTCAGCCAAACCATTTCATCCTGCTGCTGACAAGGTGGGACTTTAAGCTCCTTGGGAATGTCTCAAATCTGGTCTTAGAGGACATTTTGTCCCAAATGTAATCCACACTCCGCTTTATTTTTTTTAACAGCCATACATCACAACGGATGGCCACAGGAAAACTGAGGGAATTGTAAGGATGGACATTAGCCGTATAATTAAATTAGCTCGACTGGGAGTAAGTTTGCTCAGACTTTTGTTTCTTTTTAAGGTCATGTCAAGAGAACTTTGAAAAAAAAGTTACACTGTATGAAATATTTTATTTGCAAATGTAGAAGCTCATCAGGTAGAACATCTTTAGTTAATTATATCCAGTCGCAGGGCAGCACTTAAGTTTAAAAGGAATGTGGGGACCTTTAAATGTTTCAATGTGTGACAAACCTTTCCTCTGACATTTTTAACTGGATGTTCTCCCACATGTTTGGGCTTATTTCCAGCTCCTACGATTGCGCCAGAAATAAAAATGACAGCTGTTTTCCTCTGAGATAGTGTCTCTTCTGCAAAGACCTTTTAGTGAATCTTCTCTGGCTGCTCTTAATTTGAACATAGGTGTTGGAAAATAACAAAATTCTGCACTGAGGTAATTGCTTAATGGGGTGTTTGGCCAATGTGTTTGGCTTTATCTCCCACACCTGTTACAGATCACAAACACAGCTACCCTCAACCTCAAAAGACAAAGAGATGAGGCTTAAGCGATCTTTGCTCAGAAGGACAGCAAGTACAGCAGGGCCATTTCTCTTCCTGCAGAATGGCCTGAATCCACCCGTGCCTTTGCTTAAGAAGCGCATATCACAGAACAACACCTGGTTTGACAAAGTTGGCGAAGAAAAGTAAAAAAAACATCTGAGGGAATTGTTAACTGTCAGATGAACCACAAATAACAGAGACAAACGAAGAATTTGAGATTTATCTTCTCTGAGTCTAAAATTACCAGAAAAGATGCCGAGGGAGACGTCTTTGCCATCGACGTGCAGTTTTACTTCTATTAAAGGCCGCTTTGCTGTTACTGCTCTCAGAGCTCCTTTCCAGAAGAATGCCAGAAAGATGAAAACAACAGTCCTTTGAAATCCTCATAACTAATTTAACAGAGCTGCAGAGGTGAAAAAGAAGTCATTTAACAAACTTTTTTTTCTTTCCCCCTCACAAACCGAGTGGTAAAGAAAATATATGAATTTTTTGACTGGCCTTTCTGCCTGCACACCAATACAATGGAAGTGAAATCAATGTGTGGTGTTCACTGCAGCAGTTACATAAATGAGCATCAAGGGAAACATCCCATCCAGAAATAGTCTTTCTTTGACGCTAGCTAAACCACAAAACATTTCTTTGGGAGAGTAGTTCCACTGAACTTTGTTCAGTATATTTCCATTCACAAATAGTAAAGCAGTGCAGACATATCTGATATGAATATCTCAAGCACCTGGGAAAAAACATCTCAGTGGGGATTTATGCACCTGAAATGGATCAAAGTGGATCCCGTGGTGGGATTATAAAAAAACAAAACAAAACAAAAATGCATTCTTATGTTTCGTTTTTATAATTTTTATAATTTTATTTTATATTTGCCTGATTTCATTTTTAAAATTAATATTCCATTTTTCATATCCCCTGCATTTGCATTTAGAATTCTTAAAACTTAACTCTTCCCCTCCCTGACCCTGGCTCTGCTTGAAGTCTCTTCCTGTTAAATGGCAGTTCTTCCTTCCCACAGTCACCAAGTACCTGCTTATAGGGTTACCTTAAAATATGAGGCAAAGCCTGAATAATCCACATGAAGATGACTGATATTGTCTCAAGGTGTAATGTATATAAATAAAACTGAACTAATTAATTTCAACACTTCCTTTGCACTTTTGTAATTTCAGTCCCTTTCAAAGTAAGCGCACAGGTGGCTAGACAAAATGATAAAGTAATCGTTTTTCTATGAGCCCTTCAAATATCTTCAGTGATGGAACTGCAGCTAGGAGATCAGTGTGGAAAGAGGATATTGATGAAGCACTCTGGCAGGACATTATGTTACTGTTGAGATCAGGTTTGTGGTCTTTCAGCTACAAGATAATCTCTGCAAACAAAGGTCCTGCTGATAGAGAGTGAAAACATTTCTAATATGTTTTGTTTAGTTCATATTAATTTCAAAAACTGTCCATGACATAATCTGTTCTGTGAAAGAACACATTAACGCAGGGGTGAATTAATCTGTCACATTATGTAGGGAGCTCTGCATCTGGTCACACTATGATAGTTACAACCACTTTTCATGGAAGAAATAGAGCTATTATCTGTGAGCTTTGACATTCTAATATCTGTCTAAGACATAGATGAAAAAGCTGAATGGCAGACCTGCAATTCTCCCTGCCAAGCTGGATATTTATAGAAGCTTGTGAAGACAGATCTAAGCCACTGGCCTCACACATACAGATGGAGCACACAGCAAAGTCATTAAGTTGATAGCACACAAGAAGTTTCACCAAGCACTGCTGTTGTTGTTCCTGATCCTCACTGCTCTGCAAATGTAGGTGCAGAAGCGCGTTGATAATTTTACAGAATGTGAAAAATACATGGCATTTCAGACGTTTCAGACCTTTATTTTATATTACAGTGTAAGAATCATATATCCCAGGTATAGTCTAATGTCTGTTTATAATTGTCTCGATTTATGTCACATAGTTACAGAGCACTTTCAAACACTTTTTGCGTCTTTCATCTGTAAACTGTTGTTTTCTCAACACTGGAATTGAAGTAACGGCAGAAACCAGTTAGTATTTTTAGTACCTGATTCCTATACCCAGTAGCACTGTAAATTGTCAGCTGTGTTATGAAGTGAAGAAAGAGAAACTGTGAAAAAAAATACAGACAGGAACAAAAATCTACCGGTTACATGTGTGCATGAGGAATGTGAGTCCTGAGCCATCAGAAGGATCGGGGTCTGCCCAGTCCAGGCATTTCGAGGAGATTAATAAATGCTGACTTAGCTTTTTCCTGATCTGCTGTTCATATTGACCGGACATGCCACCTGACAAAATCTCCTCTAAAACAAAAACAAAAACGCTGCTTTGATTGAAATGCAGATCTTTCTGTTCATATTTTGAGTCCAGCAACATTTCACAGATGGCCATGCTTCTGCAATTTATGGAGGGAAGCTGTCATCATTCACTCCAAACTTTCCTGCCACAAGAATTCCAGGCAGACGCTCTCTCTTCCCACAAAAATA